ATACCCGTGATGGGCAGAGCACAGATAGCCCATTGTGTAGCTTTGTGCTTAAATTCAAACAAACAAACAAAAAAAAAAAAACGGCCGCAAAATTCAAACCATGAATCCTCGGATTCAGACTCCAAATACGCTAGCTAATAGGCTATGCTCAACCCTAGCTCAATAATGATATGAAAGTGCATAAAGAACTAAGGTCAGTTGATTCTCAGTGCTAAGTTTATGAATCATTTACCCAAAATTCACAAATGTAACTGATCTGTAAGTTTACGGTCTTACAATGTTTGATTCTCCACGATGTACGGTGGGCAGATAGCCCCTTGTGTTGGTTTGTGCTAAGAAAACAATAACAACTGTAACTTACCGCTATCTCACCGGGGGACAATAATGGAGAGAGAAATTTCCAAGTGAGCGTTGAATAATTATATTTAAATAATAAACATTATGATATAAAATTTATATTTAAATAGAAACACAATTATACTTTAACTTTTCTGGAACATAAATCAATATAGTAGTTTTAAAATTGGTATGTTTCAAAAACTGTCGTTTTCGGAAATCTTTGCACATTTTGATATTTCCGCTGCTGTCAAGATCAATTCAATAAAAGTGTTAGTAAATATGCTAATAGGATTTTAAACAATTATTCTTTAATTCGTGAAAAATTGAACCATATAAGCAAACACTCCAGTCTGAGTTAAACAAAATTAAGAATAGTAGTATACCTTGTTTTTATGCTACATAAGTTTATTGATATACGATTGTGATTCATTGTTCCACGTACTACTCCCAAGAAGTGAGTCAGATATTTTGATTGCCGTTTGACTTTCTCAATTTCTATATGAACATATACAGCCTTAATAATGTTGATATCAGGATTTTCTTTGTACACGTTAAGCCATGATTGCGAATTTATTTCTGCTTCCTTTATCTTCAGGTATTTTGTATTGCATTTTTGAAGATGAATTCCTGCTCAACGGGTCCAATTTTTTGAAGGAATGACACGATGAATAGGTGTCTGATTGTACCTGTCAGCAGTCAGGGTACCACCAATTCTGTGTAACTCTTCCCATGCACGCTTCACTCTACATGTTATACACTGAACAGTGATACCTTTCTCCTCTCTGCCATGTTGAATTTGGATTAGACTAGAACCATTCTCTAATTGTATTCGTCCCATTGTCTGAAGTCTGATGTTCATTTCAGCCTTTGGTTTAGATATTTCTCAAAAGCAATTATTTTTTGAGCAGAACACGTCGAGTCCGATTCTGAAAGCAACATTCACACTTTTACTCACAGTTAGGTCAATGGTAAAGTCTCTATTGGATTGAAATGTATCACACAGACACCACATCCTAAGTTACTTAACATTACTTTTGAAGAATTAGGTATTATGCTTGTGTACAACTGTCTGTTTGGTTGTATTACAATCAATAACACTGTGAAATATCAAAATATGACTGTACACTGTCCACTTCAATGCAATGGAGGAAGGGTAATCCCACAATATTTGCATCTTATACCCTTTTTATTCACCATTCCCATAACTATTTTCAATGTTATGTATTTGTTTTTCTTTTAGCTTGTATGGTAATGTTAGTGAGAATTATGCCAGAAATTAAAATTCTTCAGCGGATGCTTGAAATCATGCAAACACATATATCATTATTTGTGAATTTTGTTTTATGTGAATGAGCCTAAGTCTTGAACATATTGTCTCTGGAATACAACAGATGGGTAAGGGGTAGATAGGAGTCTAATGACACTGAAGCGAATAGTAATAGGAGCTAAAGATATGACATGTTTCAGCAAATATTGTAAATGCACATTTTTTCATAGAGAAGCATTAGATGTCAGTAAAATGTTTATTTTTCGATAAACGAAGCAAAAACAGTTAAAGTTCCCAAAAGAATTAGAAGTAAAAAGAAATAATATAGCCAATTAGCGGAAGTGGTGAATTCCTATTGTTGTTCGTGCCAATAACTGTAGGCTTCGAGAGACTGACACTAATTGTTGAGCACCTTTGTTCGTACAACCTTATTATATCAAACAAGTATATCATAATTCACTAAATTTCTGAAATGTTCTTAATGTCGATTTAAATTATTTTTATGTTGTAATTTACATTCACTTGAAAGCCATTTGAAATTCACCGCAGGTAAAATAACCTCCATGAACTCCGGTGATCCTTTCCCGAAATCTTCACATGTAGGTGATTACTGCTACAACTATCACTCATCTTATAGAGGCATTCCTAGCCAGACATAACGGAACTAATCGGGTCGTTATTGTGCAGGCGTTTTGAAGCAAACTTCAATAGATGATCATAAAGTAAATACCCCAGTGCCTAAACTATAATGTGTAGGAAATTGCTACCACAAAGATCAAACAAGAAACAAATAGGGAATCGACTTCAGTACTTACTAAATCTTGATATAGAGGGCCTTACAATTGCACATTACCTACAAATGTCATGGGAAAAATCGTCTCATTACGCTACTGATATCGCTAACAAGAGGGCAGATAGTGATATTTTGCTACATAAAAGAACGCCCTTCTCCATTTTGACTGCCTGACCACAAAACTGTTACAGACTAGTTCCGTAGATCTGACAACGGTAGATTTCAGGTTATGAGGTTTCCTTATGTCACGCGTTTACGTAGCTAATCTGCATACCAAACTTGACTTGCAGCTGTTATAAGAAAGATAGTTTGCATAATGGATAAAATATGGCTAGCAGCGGGAATGTTCAAGGCTACACATATTGTGACTTCAATGCAAAATATTTAATTGTGGCAAGAGTTGACAAATGCTTTAAATGATTCCCCATGAAACATTTGTCATGTCTGTGTGAAGGTACCGTATTATACCTTATCGTTTAGGCGCTATAACCTATTTTATGATCATCCTGTAATAGCGGATGTGTCTGTAATTATTTTCTCTCTCATCATATACAACATACAACACACCAGAAAGTCATGTCTTGACCAGTGCTTCCTTTTTCCATATTCCGTCATTTTCCAGCAGTGTGTTTTGTGTATTACTGTGTAACAAAAATTGAGATTCTAATAGCACATGTCATAGCAAAGCAGCAGTAAGAATTGTTAGTGTTCAGTCGACCGCAACTAACTTTCCATTCAAAGTTGAGTGAGTCATGGTTATCCAAGGACTTTGGTGGCATTTTCCAGTACTAACAGCAGAAATAACAAAACCCGGATCTTGTAAGCTCCATTAAATATTGCTTTAAAATGCCTTTGTAAGTAAGATTAGTGTATTACCTTCTGAAGACATATCGCACAATCAGAATGTTTTTATTTGTGGATTTTGGTGAAACAGGTTTACAACCGGATCCTTTAGATTCGAGTTTTACTATTTTACATTGGTAAACGAGAACCCCACGTATGTATACTTTTCTCTGAGAATAGTTTTTAAACTTACCTTTCCCACAAGATAAACCCGTTGTCATCAATTGTTGGTACACAGTGTTCTGGGTTCATCTGAAAGAAAAAGAAATATTTTATCTACTCTCTATATATATATATCTTATTAAAATGACACGTTTAGTTGTTATTCTCAAAGAAACGCTAAAATCGGGGAATCGATTCCTCGCGGTAGACAGGGTACGGCTAGCCCACTGTTTGACTTTGCGTTTAACGTTCGTTGTTATAGCGTTTGTTTTAGCGCGATTGTTGAAATTAAGTGTATCGTAAAGTTATATTCGGAAAGAATAAACCAGTTTTATTAAGTAAGGACTTGTGTCGCTAAAGTTTCGTCGGAACGAAGTTACGGAAAGTTAATTAACAAACGGAGACGTAACAGTATATTAAGAGGTATTAACTATCGAAGTCTACAACTAATAAGAACAGTATCAAAACACAGTATATAAAGAGTAAATAGATATTTCCTAGACATTTTTTTTTAGTTTAGGTATGCAAAAACAGAAAATGTACATACTTTTTTTATTTCGTGACTCATCTTATTCATGCCGCCATTAAAACAAAGCTAGCGCAACACGTGTTCGATGGTCCATGAACTATCGCCGTCTATTAATCTCAACAAGAGCTAGAGGCACTGTATCAACTTGCCCCTGTAACAACTAGCCCCGGTCTCCCCTATTACTGTAGTGATTTTATAGTATTGTTACTGCTGACTGTATCTGTGTGAAAGGATTGATGACAAGTTTCAGAAGGTCAAATTGTCAGTATTGTTCACATAGTATTGTTGTATAGCGCCATTATACAATAATTCAATTATTGTGGAAAGCTTTTATCAACAAATTCAGATACTGTTTTGTGTTAACCAACCAGAGTAAGTTAGTTGATTCTACTTCAACAATACGTCTCTCTCTGACTGCAGTTCAATTACTCATTACCTACACACACATTATTATTCCGTCACGTTGTGAGCGTCTTATTTATATACCAGAGAAACATATATCTAGTAAATGCTAGGGCATTCACCAAGGAACAAGATACTTCTAGAAAGCAGATGGCATGACAATAGTCCCGTGATCTCGCTGACGCAACAATATGTTAAATTAAATCACATATTGCTTATCAGGTTATGTAAGTACATCGTAAAGCAACAAGTAAAATGAAGGATAATGCATAAAAGCTAAATTTTAAAAGTACTTTTCTACATTTGCTTCAATAGTTCTATTACATATCCAGTAAATATCTACTTTTAGCATAGTAATTTCTTCTCAGCAAGTTATATACCAAATAGACGTTTAGAAAACCGTTTTGATTAATTTTTCGAATGCCTACTACAAACACAGAAAAAGTAGTCGGACATTGTTGTCTTTCTTTAAAGCGTTTTGCAGTGCCTCCTTTATGTACGTGAATGGTTCATAAGAGGTGACATTTCCATTAATACAACTACTCTCTTATCATTCACACTTCATTCTGAGCATGCCTTCGAGAGGCTTTATGAACTAATTAATGTATTAATAATGTTTTTGCCTACTGTCAGAAATTATGGTTGGTTTGTCATTATTTTAATCATACATGTTTAGTGTAGTTTCTGTGAAATCATTGTAAGATGAATTATGCATTTGTTAAAAATGCAGCATATTCGGGATTTGTCACGAAGAGATGATTCACGTCGATTTCACTGTAGCCAGCTTTCCACTCAAGAAGTTCTTCCCATTGAAAGTTTTTTAGATTCTGAGAAACCTTTATCTCCACAACTGTCAAGCACAACAGACTTCTCCAAATTTGGCATTTCCTTAACTATAGATAAAAATAAGGTGAGAAATAAATCAGAATGTTGTATTTATTTTTTCTCTCTTTCGTTAATCTAAATGTTGCATTGATCTATTAACAGCAGATTTTTGAATAAGTATAGATGATAATGAAAACATTAAAAACTTGTGATTAAAATTTAAGTATGACACAGTTTTTAAGGTTAAACAAAAAAAAAATTATTGAGGAAATTGTAGAATCAAAGAATGTTAATATTTTTAATATTTTCTTTTTTGGATTTAGGGTATAGTTTACCTCTAAAGTTTCTTTAAGATTTTTATAACTATTGAAATTTCATCTAATGAATTTATTAGTTATAAGTGATTTTATGTATTCATATAGAAAATTTTTACTGTAATTTCTCATGTACATATATGATGTATAGAAATATAGGTTTTGAATACATGCTGAAAACATTATGTATTTTTTGACATTTAATCTTTCTAACTAAGGAAGATTTCATAAGTTATCTCATTAAATATCTTTCCAGACTCATGCAGTGAACTAAAAATAGCAGGCTTCAGAGTTAACCAAGCTCGAACTGACTTGCAATTTATTTCAAACTGGTTGCTCTACCATCTGTTCAAAGACTTCCTGGTAACATTTGGATAAATTCCAACATTTCAATGTGAAAATGATGGTAATTTTTATTGTTTATGAGTAATTACAATGTGTTGAATGAATTTATTAATTCATTTATAAGAATATTAAAGTAATTTATCATTTTGAATTTTTTTTAATATATAAGTAACAAAATGCAAAATTGTAACACCAATTGTATTCCAGCTATCAAAGAACTATATACAAATAGAAATGTAGTTCAAAATGCTGTATGTATTATTGTGATAACAGAGGTTTTAAAAAATGTAATAATAACAAATGAATTTTAAAAGAAAATATTTATAATTCTCAGGGAATTTTTTCTAGGTTTTACAGTTTATGCGGAATTTTACAAGTTATGTTTTTTATTATATATATAAATGGTTATGGGAATTAGACGAATTTATTTTTTATATATATAATGTTACTATAGTTGAATCAGAAATATGAATATTTGCTTAGGTGAAATATTAACCAAATATTATAGGTACTATGTTACTTTGTAATTGCCTTCAAAAGATTGAAAAACATTGCACAACTACCCTGAAGTTTGCATCCATATATAATAACTATTTTCTGTAAACTTATGATGGCATATAAAACATGTCTAGAAAATATATACGTTTCTAATTATTATTTAAGTGGAGTTAAAGGCTAGTAAAAAAACTATAAAATGGTAGTTTTATTCAGTATTTTTTACAGGCTTGTGGGAAAAAAGAGCCATGTAACTAATATCTAGTACTAATAAAAAAAGAGGTGCTACTATAGTGTGCAGTCTACAAGATACTATCATCATCATGACCATTTTAATGATTCACTAAAACATAATTTCTTGCTAAATAATTTATATCTATCCGCATTTTTGTTCAACAAATAATAATAATTTAATAAGTTGTGTGTTCCAAAAGAGTATCTTAAATTTAGATTCAAGATGATAAAAACCCATAACACGAGCACTTTTGAAAGGTGAACCTTTCTTCTTCTTCAGGGGCAAACTGGGAATCCCCTGAAGAAGAAAGATCCACCTTTTGAAAGCGCTTGGGATTTTATCATCTTGAAGCAAGACTTCATGAATCTACGTGTTTTTCCGACACCTTAAATTTAGGTTATAACTGTGCAAGTTTTGATTGTTAGAATTTAATCCGTTCCGATTATATTTGCCCCAAAAATGTTATGTAATGGTATTTTGTACTACATTAGTTTAAAAGCATTATTTATAATAAAAGGTGCCAATTACAAACAAACGAAAGTTAAAATGGTGATGACGATAGTATGTATATGTGTATACGGCACGCTATAGTGTAAATATCTTTGTAGACCACACGCTATAGTAGCACCAAAAAGACATATATGGTAATATCTTGTCAGGAAAATCACTTATGTCAATTAATAACGATGCAAAACATAACTGTATATAATAGTTTTACCAAATAATTTATACATAATTAAAAAGTATAAACAGCTAAAAACTGGATTAAGAAAGAATACTACTGATCATTTCTGTGTTGTGATATGTAATTGATTAATTAAAATACATGTAAAGAATAAAACAAAATCTATATAATCACCAAATGTTATTCTGTAGTTATTAGGTTATACTTGGAGCCTAAAATTAATATAAAAACAATAACACAGGTGTTAATATATATATATAGTTATTTATTTAGGAAAGCTAAAAAATAAAAAAAAAGAGAATACACCAAAAGAAAGGATAGTACAAATCTAATACACCACATCCAAACTTAATGAAATCTAATTAAATGTAAATTCATGAAAAAAGAAAAAAAATTGCAGCCACAATACAAACATCACAAATCATAAGGTGTGTCATTAGGCAATATGCCCTGGTTTTTAGAAGTACTGATGAAAGTTAGACCCAAATTGCGTTAGGGGTACACCATCCATTCAGTTTAACCTCAATATTAATAAAAATGCTTGTCAAAAACGTCGTATACATAAACTTAATTAAGAAAAATAATATGTCTATGTACATGTGTTTAACTTTATAAAAACTAAACAAGTGACATATATTATCAAAATATGTAAATTTACATCACATGTAAATAGACACCTAATTTTTCGTCATTTAACTGATTTATGCTAACTAATTTGTGTTCACAGAGCACTATATAAATGAAAATGGTCCGCACACTAATTATCTTGTGCTACAACATGCCTAGAACTCGAATTGTCAGATTTTGTTAGAGGAAGGATAGTTGGTCAAGCAGATGGTGGAATAAGTCAGTGGCAAATTTCGCAGAATTTGGGAATCCCGCTTTCGACAGTCAACAGAATCATCGTGCAGTACAGGAAACACGGCAAGAAAACAATTGAGCAGTGTCCAGGTCGTCCTGGTCTATCGGAGAGGACAAAAAGGGTGTAGATTAAGATATGTGTAGCACTTTGAAATTTCGTTCTTACATGACATCCTCAAACGCAACTGCTATCCACAACACTTATTAGAAAACATTACCAACACCTTCCTAACAAAGAAACTCACAAATCCAGTTAAGATACCAACTGTACCTAAACTTACTGTATACTCGTGTTTTCCCTATACTGGCAAACAAAGCTTAAAGTTAAAAAATCAACTTAAACGCATACTTGGTCGTTGCTACCCTCAATACGTCTCTCTCTGTCCGCAGTTCAATTACACACTACATTACATACATTGTTGCCGTCACGTCTTGACCGTCTTATATATAAAAGAATACCGAATCTAGTAAATGCTAGAGCATTCAGGAAGGGACGTGAACGTTCTAGAAGTTCATGACGTGTTACTAGAATCACGTGACTTCCGCTGTCGTAACACTGCCCCTTCCTTGGTATTGTTCATTCCGAACAATAGCCACTTACATTAAACCAATAAACAATTAACAATAACTTAATTAAATGTACAGAATTACAATCACAAAATTACAATTCTACAAAGTCTCTTAATTTTAC